CACATACATGCATATGTATATTTCACAATTTTTTACAACTTCCAGTTCAATTGACTTACTTTTTATCCATTATAGTACCACTTTCTTATGTAAATTTTATAAACGCAAACTCCAACGACTAAAAAACAGCAATAGAAGAATGAGCGATTAAAAAGTATTCACAGTCGCTAATTGAGCGACTAAGCGACACTCGCAATAGCATCGCTAATCGATAATCGCTTAATAGTCGTTTATCTACTGCCAGTCGACATTCGCAATAGGGGTGCGTATCTTAAGTTTCACGCCATTGCCTAAAATTTCCACTCGACTAGTGTATTAAAGTGGGAAAACTTGGCAGCACTGTATAGTTTACGACGATTTTCGTCGTTTACTTATTTTCAGCACGGCTGTATACAATGCCAATATTGTCGAGTCGTACAATTGAGCCTAATTTACGACTTACGCAATGAGGCTGATTATGGCGCTCATTCGATGAAGAATAGCGCTATTCTGCATCAGTACGAACAACCGCGCAAGTTGCTTATAATTTTTGATCTGTAATTCAGACACATACATGCATATGTATATTTCACAATTTTTTACAACTTCCAGTTCAATTGACTTACTTTTTATCCATTATAGTACCACTTTCTTATGTAAATTTTATAAACGCAAACTCCAACGACTAAAAAACAGCAATAGAAGGATGAGCGATTAAAAAGTATTCACAGTCGCTAATTGAGCGACTAAGCGACACTCGCAATAGCATCGATAATCGATAATCGCTTAATAGTCGTTTATCTACTGCCAATCGACATTCGCAATAGGGGTGATTGAATAGCAACCATCGACCTTTCCGATGCGTTTTTTACATTCCTACTTGAAGATCGAAGGCAATTCGATAATAAGAACCCCGATGATTCCTGAATGAGAATGTCCCAGCATGAACCAAATATACAAGATTACGTAAGAACGCGACGTTGTATTTGTAACTGGTTTTGAGAAAAAAAATTGTGAAAGCGGGTTCGTCAGCTGAGCGTTTGTTTACATCACAAGCACCACTATTTTACACTTTAATTCAAGTAAAGAGTTAATTCAACATGACAACACATTTTAAAGCATTTTGTTGCATCATTTTACCTAAATTGTGCGTAAAGTGGCTGACAATAATTTTGGCTAATTTTGGTTTTCGTTGTTTTCTTTACTTTTCGCTCGTTTTCCAGCGAAACAAGATGGCGTAGAACCCGCTAAAAAATCGACTTTTTTTCACCTTGTTCTTACGTGATCTTGTGTCTTTCGGTCATGATGTCCCAGTGTGAATCCTACCATTTACTCCATGTTTATAACTAATGATTAAGACTCGGCAATGTTATCGCCGTTGCTTGTCTAAGCAACATCTCATGCCAAGCCGAATTTATACAAGGCGGTATCGGTTGAGCAATAGTCATGCCTATTATGGTATCCGACGGATGCCATCCGCACGGATCTAATCAGATTCGCACTGTCGGAATAAGCGAGTGCGAAGGATTAGATTCGTGCGAATGGTATCTGCCTGGCCGGAATAGGTATGTTTCCGAGGGACGACATTCTCATGAATATAATTCGTCTCACTCCCTTGTTATGACAGTGCGAATCAGATTAGATCCGCGCCGATGCAAAGAACGTAAATCTATGAGACAACACGTTATAATTGTAGCGAGTGTGAACACCAGGAGCGTGCCTTCCCTTTTCATCCAGTCTAAAAACGTATTTGAGCAAAAGAGAAGGCACGCTCCTGATGTTCACACACGCTACAATTATAGCGTGTTGTCTCTTATAGATTTACGTTCATTGGCCGATGGCATCCGTCGGATACCGTAGTAGACATGAATAAAGTTATACGCACCTTAATACGGTGTTCGCATGAGGCGCACTTCATTGGAAGCGAAGGCCGTTCACACCAGGCGATTGTTGCTTTCAACTAAACGCTGCCTCATGCAAACACCGTATGACGGCAATTACCACAAGAATACAACAAACACATCATTTTTGTGGGCTTGTCCGAGTTGCAATCACAACCGCGAATTATTAAAGTATCACGTTCTGTGTGAATTTCTAGCAATGTATTATCAGTTGAGCAGTTGCAACAATGTTGCCATTTTTCATCAGTACGGCAGTAATGCCGCTTTTATTACGTGCCTCGAACAGGCCCTATATTCTGGAGGACCGCGACGAATTCAAGCAACACCACCTTGTATAAGTTCGCCTTGTCTTATGCAGCGTTAACATAAGGCGATTAATATTGAATTAAAAATTGCCGACTGACTTCGTCGTAAGCGATTCGAATGGCCGTTTCAACTAAAAGTTGCCTGCAAAATCGCCTCATGTGAACACCCTATTAGGAATTTATCATGCATTTCTAAATTTTCAGTATACAAATTATTTTAGGGACCAATCCACTAGCTCGTTTCTGTAACTTTTCTATTCCAAGGCGCATTCATGTATGAAATCGTCGCCCTGTTCTCTACTGCTAATTAGTAGAGAAAGACGTATATTCTCTACCAGTAGAGAAGTTACAGAAACGAGCTACAGATTCGTCGTTATTAAATTCTGAAGGAATTTCGTTTTGTTTGTAGCTTTTAATGCGTCTAACTAAATGATGTACAAGCAATTATGAATTGACTTAATCGTTTAATATATGTATTACCAAAAATTGTTTTAGCTTACCCAAATTCTTCAAGTTCTCACATAAAATTATGTCTAAAAAAATCCACTCTTATTTTCACCAATAAATTATTATCATAAAACATGCGTCACAAACACATAATTATTGTAATGAATATGCACACATATATTGATTGCACTCATTAAAATCTTTACGAGGCCACTTTTCATGCATATACAATTTAAATAAGTTAAGGTGAACCGAATCACGACCGTTGCATCGTTCAATAAAGTAGATGCAATTGTTTTTATATTTTACGTAAAATACGTACGGAAAGCTTCATATACGTATAATTATACTAAAGATTTCGTTGCCGCAAGCACATCTTAAGAAAGGCTTATTTACGGTTCTATTGCGACCAACCTTTGTCAAGCTGACTTCATGCAACATGGAAGCAAGTTCAACTGATCCATTCTACTGAAAACACCTATGTTTTTCATTGCTTATATTCTAAATGCGTGGAATAGTACACTAGACATTTTACGTTCATATGAAGAACTAAATTAGTCCAATTAGCTGCTAATTTTGAATTTTTTACAAGTGTATCGTTTCAGAAAATAATTCAGTTAAGCTTGCACCATTATCTTAAAGCTACAAAATAAATTAGTATTCAACCAACCTTGTGCGTCACTGTTCGCCTGATCCGCCACGTCCACGTACGAATTGTCTGAGAATGATGATTGTTGTTGTTTCACCAAAGCCTTTGATGTAGTTGCATTCGCACCACCGCCAGACACATTACTACTTTGCCCCGTCGTCGCACCCGTAGGTGCTTCATCGTTTTCCGTGAAATAGCTTTCATCATACCGTAGTTCCCCATATGAATCATCTTCTACATATGTGGTCTCATTTTCCCCTCCTTCTACGTCTCCGGCCTCTTCCGCATAGTCCGGTTCTGATTTTGTGGGCAATTCTATTGGCAAGTCAATATATTCGGGTTCAGGTTGTTGTTGTTGAACTTGTGCCTTAGGTTCCGGTGCAGGGGCAGCTACAACAGCTGTTTGTACAGTAATTTGCTGGGCCCCGGTCGACGGATCAGATGTGTCTAGGGGGTCAATTGTACTTTTGGTGCGTTTGATGTGGGGTCCACTTCCAATGCTACGCGCTGGTCGCTTATGCGTAACAACAGTGGTAGTAGCGGCGGTAGTGGTACTTGCGATTTGCTGAGGTGCTATATGCGTTTGACTTTGAGTCTGTTGCAGATGTTGGGTTTGTGGTTGAGTAACTACTTGCTGCGCAGGAGGAGCTGAAGTTGTTTGAATAACTATTTGAGTTTGTTTATCATCTCCAGAGTCCTCCACCGATTCAATTTTAAATGAACGGGTTGCTGATGTACGTTGACGAACGCGAGGCGAGGAAATTTGCTGAATTTGGGGCGTAGGTGTTGAAGGTTCTGCTGGAGATTGCGACGGTGGTGGATCGCTCTAAATGAAACATTTTTAACATGTAGTTTTTACAAGAATAAAGATGTTACTTAAAATGCGTATATTACACAAATACATTTTACAAACGCTCATAAACTCATAAATACTTATCGCACATTCAGGTGTCATGATCCAAAAAATACAAATATTGAGCTAACTATGCAGAAATTACTGCGCCCTCTTCTTCTATGTTGTGTGAAAATTTCTTAGCTGTATCAATAACCAGTTTTAATATGGGACTACAGATACCGTTTTTAAATCTATTATATCGTAGATTGATTATTAATCGAGCTCTTCCAATTCGATACGTGAATCAATTCAAAAAATTCGATAATCGACATTCGATTTTTGCTCAGTTGATGCATGTGAACTATTATAAACTGAATTCGGAATTAGGGCTGGTACAAAAGAAATAACATGCGAGAGCAAAAACCAAAGAATTCAATGACTTATACTAGGTTCACATATAAGTAGATTATCCTCATTTTCGAGCTTAACACCCTAATCTGTAATTATAACAAGAGATTAGCCATATAAAATTCGTCCCTTGTTAATCTGTAATTATAAAATAATCTCAGATTTAACCGACAACTTTTCGGTGTCCATTCTAGTTTTATCGATTGTTTTTGCGAAAGAGAAGAGAAATGCCAAATTTAAAAGTAAACAAAAATGTACGCTAGTAAATAAAAGAGGTTTGTTAAGGTATTATTAATAAAATGTTAAGTTAAAATATATTTATATTGCTTATTATAGCAGAAAAACGTGGCACAGAGAATAAACATAACTTTTCCTTGAGATGTGAGAATAACAAGCACAACAAATTAGCCGTCAAATCTGAGATTTGCCTGTGTAGACGGGGTGATTAAAAAACGAGCTTTGATTGTTTTATCTCCTCCGACTATAAGGCTTCACAGGGAAAATAACTCTATAAAATTATAGCTAAAACAACAAAAACTCACAAAAACTATAATTTCGAACTTTATGCAAATTTTCATAAAAGATTTTCCCTCTCCCCCTCTTTAGTAAGGCACCGTGTGTGTGTGCAACCTTTTTAAAAAAAAAAAAAAACTCTCAGTGTCACGTGTGCAATCGTTTAATTGTTGAATCATGTAAATGAGGGACGTTTTTAGTCTTTTAAATATTAAGATTTTTGCTGACTTACGAATAATTGCTTAATTTTACCTATTTACGCGCCAAATGAATGTAGTATTGCAATTTGCAAAAACACTGTTAACAGCTTACATAAAAACATCGATGCATCGATGTTTCTCCAGCTCTAATACAAGCTCAACGTAGTTAAAATACATGAAATGATGGCAATGCAGACATTTTTTAGTTTAGCCTGGCGCATTGCATACGATAAAGCAAAATGTTAGCAAAGACCGACTTCCAAAACCTAAATTGCTTTGCATACGTACAAAGTATAACGTCCCATAACGCAGAACTACAAAATGTTGACAATGTATACTTTTCCGTTAGTTATTGGTTACCGCTGGTGTTTTAAAAACACAAATTCAGAAAAATTGTTCATTGCAATATTGAATATTTAAAACATGCAATGTATATGGTTGCAATCGGGGTATTCTCTAAACTTTCAAAGCCCTTGCACTTGGCACGGATTGCACGGCTCTCCCATATGAAAACCAGTTTAACCGTGCAAGCGCTTTTCAATACGTAGAGATTACCCCTGTGTCGCAACTCTGCATATACAAACCGTTTAAATACCGCAGTATAAGTTTCTAAACATTGTATTGATACGTTTTGGAAATCAGCCAAACATTTGCAATCTGGTTCTAGTTGTTGTTGTTGTAGCAGCATACAAATTCCACAAAGACATTTTGGGGAGTGTTGCTGGAGTGACAGTCCTTGGCCAGATATAAATCTGGGTCGTTCCGGTTACGTAGACCCGACTGTCGTGGGAACGAATCTGGTTCTAGTCTTAAAAACTGGTTTTTATGTTGTCCAAAACTAATCCCTAAATGTATGTACAGTACCAGAGTGAAAAATATCCCAAACAAAGAAGCCAAATACCTACAATTACTTAAGTCTGCTATACAAATTTATACTTCATACTGCAAGGTGGGTACAGTTTCCTACGTATACATACACAAAAAGATATGCCCACACGCATGTACAAAAATGGCGCAAAAAAAGCGTACCCTGTCCAAACACAAGATGTATGTGTGTAATTGTATACTTTTTTCAGATAAATACTTACATCAGTTAGCCCCTTTATTTGGAGAGCCTCTGCTGTGCTTATAAACGCTGGTAGAGCTTCCTGTTTTACATTTACTTCTCCACAATACATGAACTGTATTAAATCTTTAAGTGCCGTATGACTTACGTCTTTTAAAAAAACTAAAAATTAAAAAATAAAATAAAATATGTATAAATCTCTTAGCAAAGGGGAAATTTTACACTTACCGAAAGCATGTTGATTGGCCGGCATTTGGGTAAACATTTTACGAAAATAGGGCGAGCACACCGAGAGTACTAAACGGTGGGCCTTAACAAATTGCCCCTCTGCCGCTAGAGTCACATCGACCAAATCGCCCCGACATAGCGACTCATGAAAACCAGCAGACAAATTACTATTAAAATTATTCCAACACAGCGAGAATTGCTCGTCGTCCGCCATGTTGGCTGCCAGCGGTAGCGTATTCGTCGTCTAATCCGATGTCACACAAATCGATAAGTTTGTGTATGTACAGACTGAAAATTTCACAAAATAGTAACTTATTTTATATCAATGACACTCAAACAAATTCGTTTTTATTTATTTATGCTGATTGGTTTGTTTATGCTAAAATAACCCCAATTTTTCTTGAATGAAAAACTGGGAAATTATTTTGGCTCAAGTAAAATTATTGGATCAACTTTTTTAACCAGGCGTTAATATGGACACTCACCGCAAAACAAATCCAGCTGCTACAAGTTAGTTTTTAATTCACTTGAAGACTTTTTGATTTTAAATTTATTTTGGCAATCACTATTTTTTATTAAAATAGATATCGCCGCAAAGACAGCTGCACCTTTAGCAAAACACAATCCGTTCTCGGTCAAATTTACGAATGAAATCCAATTTCGACCAAACGCTTGGCGTTGTGTGCGTTTTATGGTAAAATTTCATTTCCGTAAACGGAAATTTTAGAAGCTTCATTTTGATTGGCTATCGTCATTTCAGGGTTGCTTTAAAGGTTGCCATACTAACTTTAAGTTGATGCAAAACGTAACGTAAGTAAAGAATTTGGTAAAGATAAGGGAAACTTAACAAACGCCTTCAGGCGAAATAATATTGTTTCTCTTGCACTATAACGATTCTGTAGAATGCAAATATATTAAAATGGCTTAAAAATTTAACATTTCATTTTATATCTTGGGGTAGGCTTTCAATTACATCTGTTTTTTGGGTGTTTTCGCAAAGCTATTACGAATTTTGTCATAAAACTTAGCGGAGATGTAAAGAATAGTATATATTCACATTATTTATCACTCTTTACACTTTATTAGTAATAGTATATAACTAACTTGGTGCTAAATTATTTGCAGTTTCACTAGCAAATTTTCATATGAAAAGAGCACTTAAGACATATTTTGATAAATATACGATCTTTGCAATGTTCACGTGTATTTTGTATACATTAAATGTATTTTATTTTATCTTTTAACAATATAAAATGCGCTTCATAATTTCACTACTTTTCTTCAACAAAGTAACAAGCAAAATGGCTGTAATGGAGAATAGAAAGGTGCTACCAGATGTTCGAAAATTAAATAGGTACACGAAAAGTAAGGGATATTCAACAATCTACTTCTGTTTCATAATGATCTAGATAACATTTGAGAACAAATGAATGCCCGCGGCGCTTTAAAGAAAGTAAAATCGGTCGATTTTTTTTTAATTTTCCCTGTGGCGCTTTAAAAAAAAAAACCATACTTCAATAAATAATGAAAATTTTTTATTAAAAATNGCGATTTTTTTTTTTTAATTTTCCCTGTGGCGCTTTAAAAAAAAAAAAACCATACTTCAATAAATAATGAAAATTTTTTATAAAAAATCGATGATTCGATAAAAAATGCACATTTTTATTAAAATCAATAATTCGACTGCGACTCTTTTTTTTATGTAAAACAGTTGAGGGATTCACAGCCATGTCGTAAGTGTCGTATGGTTGTATGTCGTAAACTTTAAAAGCTTAAATAAATGTTAAGAGAACTTGGAACCACAACCAACTATTTTTTAACACTGCGAAAATACATAATATGACTTTGATGGTACTTTGCAAACCCCTTTAACATGTTTTTTAGGCGTTTAAAGTTTACGACATACAACAATACGACACTTACGACACTTACGGGTATTCACAAACCCCAATTATTTCAACACAAAGTGAATATTTTCAATAAAAATCCGCCGACTTCTTTTACTATCCTCATCATCTGGCAGCACGGACAACTGTGTTCATTTCCAACACTTCCATATAATCAATGAAATTTGTATGGTATAGCCATGGGTAATAGCGCAATATTTATAGTACAGTCCCGTTGTCATACAGTGTAGCCATGGGTAAATGCGCAATTTTTTTTGGCGATAGCTCAATAACGCCAGCGTCACCTGTGGTGTCAGCGCACTAACTCAGCGCAATAGCGCAGTGTACTGAATTAAACACGGCGCCATCTGAGTGTCACTACAGTACCCATCGTCATACAGTGCAGTACAGCATACAGTGGTGTCATGTCTATTATTTCTATAAGCGCTGAGCAACGCTTGTACCGCCAACTGAATTTAATTGCTAGGAATGTAGTAAATGCCACGATATTCTATCATTCCTGAGTAAAAGCTTTAAATTTGCATTCTCAACACTCAAAAGCAAAAACAAAGGACGTGTAAATTTTCAAAGAGTTAAGGCGAATTGTGTGTGTGTCTATTATGTTGCTGGGTGTTAATGGCGTAGCGCTTTCCATATACTGGTGTTGGCACGGCAACTCCGCCGCGCCGCGCAGTGTTACCCATGCCTAATACAGTGTAATACACCATACAGCGGGGTCATGTCTATTATTTCTTTAATTTCCGGCGCTGAGCAACGCTTATACGCCAACCGAATTTAATTGCTAGGAATGTATGTACGATATTTTCATCATTCTTGAGTAAAATCTTTAAATTTGCCAAGATACATAAGTTTCTGCCGTTCTCACAACTCCAAAGCAAAAACAAAGTACGTGTACTTTTTCAAAGAATTAAGGCGAATTGTGTGCGTGTCTCATGTGTTTCTTGGTGTTAATAGCGCTTTAAATATGTTGGTGTGGTGCGGCAACTCCGGCTACGGTGTTAGCACAATTGCGCCGTGCTGCGGATTGTTACCCTTGCCTAGTATGGTGAATTGTGCAACTTTAAAAGTTAACAACTCTTTAAATAGAAGCCTCCGCGCTCTGGGGGTTTCACTCACAGTATATACAGTAATAAACCTTTTTGAGTACTCCTCTGGGTTAAAATCTGATCTGGGTTGATAGTGAGAATGAGCATGAATTTTGCCGATTCAGAGTTGCATACAAATTTACTGTGGTATGAAAGGGAGCAACAACCGTACTATGGCAGAGTGGCACAGGTAATTTTGTTAACAAACACTTTTCTTATAATTATAAGAGATAATTGCTATTTATTTTGCAATATTCCGATATGCAGTGTGTATCCAGAGGCAGTGGCATGTGAGCCTTACTAAAATCTACTCATCATGTTGGAGCAGCTCCGGGTAATATACAATTGAATTGAATTGAAATTTGAATTCGCTGGCTGAACTTATGACCATCTTAACCTTCGGAGTCTCCAAGCAAATGCGTGTCCTGAGTTTATACGGCAGCCATTCATAGCAATTACTATTGTATGTGTGTATAATTCATATTGTGACATTCTATACTTTGATGTTGAGTATTTTTGAGGAGCTCCGGTAATGGTCGCTTAAACTTGGGTGTGCTTAATGAGCTCTCTGGGCGGATGCGCTGGCAGGCTTTGGAGTCTGTATAGCTGTACAAATCTTTTTTTTTTGCTTTGGAATAAAGACTTAAATATATTCGGAAATTAGAAGTTTTTTCCTTGATAAATTCCCAAAATTCACGGTTTTCATAAAAATATAATGTTATAATGGATATTTTATTGATTTTAAACTTACATTTATGAAAACTCCATTCCGGGCTATAATTACGATTTGAGTTTCCAGTTTAAAGAAAGACAAGCAATAATTATGTACTTTACTATTGATATTACCGTCAATTAAGCATTGATATTATATTTAAACTACATTCTGTTCATAAATAACACAATTATATATATTTTATCCTCGAAAAGAACTTTTTCTAATCATGAGGCGAAATTCCCCACAGTAAGTGTTGCAGTGCACGCTAAACGAAAACATTGCACACAACCCAAAAGTACTCCTCGGGGACCAATTGGTGAGAAACTGCGAACAGGTTTAATACTGTAGCTCTGATCCAGTACTCCATGAACTTACAGGATTTTACACGAAGTTGCAGGAAAAATGTTCCCGTACTCCGAAATCCTCCAAAATCCTGTAAATGAGAGCGACTTTTGGAGAGTTGTGTAGAGAATGAAGTTGCAAGATTTTACCCGAACTTTTTCTTCTGTTAAATCATGAAAAGTGTCAAGCAATCACAGGTTGACGTTTTTACAGGAAAAATGGTTTTTTTGTTCCCGTACTTTTTGTTGTTACTCACTTTTTACCCTCACTTCAGAGAGTAATTTTGCTGTTTGACAGTTTTACAGGACTTTTCACGAAAAGTATTGGATCAGAGCTTGTATATACCGTGCTGATGACACTGATTTGAAAGAGAGAGAGGGTATTTGTTCAATGCTAATGTTACACTAAGGGTCTTCACATCAATTTTGGTAGTTTTGATAAATTGCTGGTTGACGCCCTGTAATTGTATCAACTGTGAACGTCGTTTTCCGGTTTCTTTTGTTATGGTCTGATTATGCATACTTCGCATAACTTCGCACAACCATTTGTACCAGTGCAATAAAAATGTATCTTAAGAAAATGTGAAGCAAAATCTAAACTCAACAGATCGTTAAGTTATTAAAAGTTCTGCTAATCTCTGGGTAATGGAATAAATACAAAATACATACAAAGTACCAAAGAAATTACAGTTTGTAGTTTATGCGAAGTTGTGCGAAGTTATGCGAAGTATGCATAATCAGACCATTAGTCTGGAAAACTATGTTTAACAACAGCGGATTCGTAGTTTTTCCCTAAAAAAAAAAAACAAATTTGTAACATAAAATTTAAGGAATTTTACTTACCCGTATGCCTTATGCCTTTCGGCAGCGGACGGATTTAAAATTGAATAAATATCGAAGAGCTGATTGCAGTTTACCAACTACCAGAAAAATTATCAAGCTTCGTTCACGATAATTCGGTATCCGGTACACCGATAATAAAATAATTTTACACAAAGAAAATACATTGGGAAAAATCACCGAGTACCAAGCTCGGTGTGAAGACCCCTACTTTAAAACAAATCTTCAAAACTTCAAACCAGTGGGGTTCAACTACTTAAAAGCAGTTGTGTTTTAAATTGTCGTTAACAATTGCAAATCCACTTTTATTAACCCATATGCAAAGTGGGCTCCATTTGGTTTTGGTACTCCAAAATCCTGTAAATGAGAGCGATTTTTGGAGAGTTGTGAAGATAATGAAGTTGCAAGATTTTACCCGAACTTTTTCTTCTGGTATAATCATGAAAAGTGTCAAGCGATCGGCAGTTTGACGTTTTTACGGAAAAAATACTTTTTCGTCCCCGTACTCCAAAATCCTGTAAATGAGAGCGATTTTTGGAGAGTACTGGATCAGAGCTATTACAAAACCAAATGGAACCCACATTGCATATGGGTTTGTATTTTTACCTTGTTAAAAAAAAAATACAATAAACAAAAATTTTACGATTTTTTTGGACTAAATGACGATTTTTTAGGGTAAATTTACGATTATCCAGCGAAAGCTTGCGGCAACGAGGACTGGAGCATTCCAGTGCGTTCATCGAACAGCTCTAAATTTTCACTAACTCTTTCGCATAACTTTGGACCACGTCAACCGATTTCGATAATTCTTTTTGCAATGGAAAGGTGGTCCCATACTAATTTGGTTTAGATCAGATCATTGAGTCATAGATATATAAATTTTTTTTAAGTCGTTTTTTTTTTGCTAAAAATTACTTGTACCTAAATAGATTAGCTAATGGCAGAGATATTCAAGTTTGAAGTTCAAGTTCAATATACAATTTTTTTTTATTCACTGTACCTTTACAATACTCTTTATAAACCAGTCCACAATGTAACATCAAAATTTTGACTTTTAACGCGACGCAACAGCTTTAGAAGATGAAGAAGAAGAAGAAGAAGAAGAAGAAGAAGAAGAAGAAGAANCGAAATAAAAGTCCTTTCGTAATAATAAACAAACCGCATATCCAAATCAAACAAATTTGGTACCAAATGAAAGAGGACTGAAATAGTTTTCAAACAGAAATGTTTCAACGAAGATTTCCACCTATTCATATATTTTTTGTATAATCTTTACATCTAATATGCGAAGAAATTTATTGTCCAGGTTATCAGATCTGCGCCGTTCGTTCGATTTTCAAAAATGAGGTGTAATCAGTAATCAGTGACTGCGAGAGTTCTTAGCTATCAAGTTTCATTACCATCCATAATTATTTTAAAAAAGTCATCCGCCATTTTGAATTTTGAAAATTTAATACCAGTTTCGAGATGATCGACGACCAACGCTCCTGGATACCAAGTTTCATAACAATCAATAATTTTTTTTTAAGTCGTCTGTCATATTGGATCCGTCATTTGAATTTTGAGAATTTAATATAAACATTTCTAACGTACTATATTCTCGATTCGTCCCTATGTGCGATCGGAAAAATAAAATAAGTTCCGAATTGAAAACAATTTTGAATCAGTACACTTTTAAATTTCAAAGCGTATTGAAATTTGGTCTATGCATCCGTTTTGAATCGCAGTGCACTGGGTTAAAGCGCCTTATGAACGCTTGATATGTATGAAGAAAACACTGTGCCTTATTGTTTTTACACATAAAATTCTCCAGTTACTAAACAAAGTGCGGTTTAGCAGCTCAACAGAAGATTTAATTTAAGTTAAAAATACATCCATATATTTGTAGTTGCTTAAAATTAAATTTATTTTTAAACTGATATTTACATTTTTTATATTTAATCACTTACTCCCATTAGATACAAACATTTGTGTGCCTTCCTAATTATATAAATATATGTACATATAAAATGTTTTTCATATTTCCCTACCACTTTATAATTAAAAGAGTAAAAAATTATTGTACGCAGATCACAATTAAAATTTGTATAAACTTTTTCGGGATTCAAAAGGTGTCATGATAAGTCTTTTAGTGACAAATTTATCTTTTTGTTTGTTGTTGTTTTGAATTTATATTGATACTTATTTATCTTAACAACAATAATGTATTATTATCGGGATATTCACAACGGTGTCGCAAGTCTCGTATTGTTTTTTTGTCGTTAATTTTAAATGCTTAAAGATATACTTAGGGGGTCTTAAGGTACCATAAAAGTCATATAATAAGTTTTCATACTGTTAAAAGCTAGTTAGTTCTGATTTCAAGTCGTCCAAAGATTTATTTAACCGTTTAAAGTTTCCTACATACGGCAATATGAAGCCGTTGTGAATACATGAAATATGACAATACGCTCGTTATGACACCTTGTGCGTTCCCCAATTATATATGCATATGTGTATGTATGTAAATTGGATATTTTCAGCAGTTTCTGGCCTAATTTATTAACATTTTTTATTTGTATGTATGTAGTATGTTCACTAGGGTGGTCCAAAATAAGTAAAGTTGGAACTTTATTCCTCTCACCCCTAGTACTGTTCTACATCGAAAAAATGCACCCCTATTTTTAGTTGAAATCAAAAAATATTTAGAGGTCGCTCAAAGTTTTCCATGCAGTTTATATGGAAAAAACCACTTGTCGTAGAAATGGTATGGAATTCCTAAAAGTTAATATTTTTCGATCGCAAACCTCTGGTTCTCGTCAGGAGACTTCCAATAACAATACCCAATTATTTGTTTAACCATTTTTTAGTACTAAAGATTTTTTATTTATCCCCCCATAGCATTTTCTGACATTTCTGGGGGCTTTGGTGGACCTATAAAATATAGTTACTATGATAAAATGGGTAAATAAATGATTGGGTATTATTATTGGCAATTTCCTGAAGAGAAGCAGAGGTTTCCGATCGAAAAATATTGATGTTGAAGAATTCCGTACCATTTCTACGAAAAGTGGTTTTTTCCCCATATAAAATACATGGAAAACTTTGAGCGACCTCAAAAAAATTTTTTGATTTCAAAATAAAAAAATGTGGGTATATTTTTTCGGTATAGAACAATCCTAGGGGGTGAGAGCATACAAATTCCGACTATATTTTTTCTCACGTATTTTTGGACCACCCTAATATACACATACATATGTATGTAGGTATGTATGTAATGCCTGCATTTAAATTTTCCTATTTCTAAGTACGTACGTATGAATTTGTACCGTATGCTAAATATTATTTACATAACCGAAAACGAAACTTATGATTATGTAAAAAATAAAAACAATAATGTAATACTACAACATTCTTCTTTGGCGCAAAATCCCGTTATCAGCTTAAGCCTTTCGCTTGAGCCCCACCATGCAGAGCGTAAAGAATATAACAATCCATGCGGACATTACTATGAATCCATTGTAAACTTGCCCGTTTGTAATGGACCAACCTTTCTCAATAATATTTCGCGCTGATATAGATGGTATTGTAAATGGGAAAAATAAGACAATCTCTTGTAAAGACTTCGGCATACCTTCTAGTGGCCATAGCAATCCTGAAAATATTGGAAATAAATATTAATGAGTAACTACATATCTACGTGCATATGTATGTGCATATGTATGTACAAACATATATACCCTGTAGTGAAACGCACTAAAGCTGAAATTAGTCAAGAACGTAAACCTACCGGTACGTAAACCCGAGTCAGCTGACACGATCTGTCTTACCAAACCGCCATGTAAATGAAAACTCAACACCGCAGAATTTTTCTGTAGTTGTAGCCCGTAGCGCAGAAATCTGCGGAATTTAGATTTTTCCGTGTCAGCTGATTTCTCCTTCTTTAGATGCTTGCCACTTCGTCAGTTTTACAGATGGTAAAAAAGATATAAGTTCCTACTCAAAATATGTTTAAAATATTTGAAATTTACTATTGAATAAGGTTTTTGTTGAAAACTAAGTAGTTTATATTTAGCTAAAATCTATTATAGCACGAAAAATTGTAGTTGAAAGGGAAGTTTATGAAAAGGCATTGATGAGTGGCAACAGTGTAGTAAGCAACACTGAGGGCTCCAGTAATCGACAAAATTCTGCGTATACAGACTGCGTTTAAGTATACGTTCTGCGTTCTCGACTAATTTCAGCTTAATGCCGAACTGGTTCGGAGAATTTAAGATTGCGATGTTCTGCCAGTGTTGATATTTGAGATTTTTAAATTGTACTAAATTAATGAAAAAAGTGTAACTTTTTGAGTTTAATTGTACTTTGCGCCATTTCCGTCAATACGACTGCCTTTTTCCCTTATCCGAAAAAAAATCTTTTTTTGTCTACTGCAGTGTGTTTATTGTTCAATTCATTGTACAGCATTAGTTGTTTTAGGCTTAATTCAACGTAACTTATCATTGTGATCTCTTCATTATATTCCAAATTTATAAAACTACACCCCGCGACAAAATAATATAGTCACCCGGTTTGGGCTATTTATTTTATTTCTCTCAAATAAATTTTAATTATTTTTTTTAGAAAAGTATATCTTATTGTCTAACAATATATAATTAAAAACAAAAAACATCTAAACGATGTAGCGCATTTTCTTTTATATAAAATAAATTACGAACAATCGTTAAATGGAAGAAAGTGAAACAATTTTTACCCACAAAATTTCTACAAATTCTGGATTTATTTTTTTTGGTTTCTGTCAGACAATGAGCTATACTTTTATAAAAATATAATTAAAATAAATTTGAAAAATAGTAAAATAAAACCAATTGCCCAAGCCGGGCGACCGTATCACTTTGTCGCGGGTTGTATATTCAAAGATGAAGGCAATAACCATAACAAATTAATAAGTTGATAGATCAGTTTATATTAATGAAAATAAATCACATAAAATGAAATGACTAGATTTTTTCAAAAGTGATATTTCACCCGCCGGTGATAAAAAAATTGCAATCACCATAAAGCTCAACACTAATATTGCCATTCACATTTAAAATTGCAATTCAAATTTCATTTTGAAATACAAAATATAGGTATGTCCTACTTGAAAATTTCGCTTCCGTTCTGCTTTTATTTCTCGCAAGCGAGATGAAATTTTGTTGACTGGGCATTTAAAAGCATACTTTTTTCACGAAAATCCAAACGCATTCATATTTTAAAACATCTGGAATCCATCACTCCATTTTATTATTTTAAATAGTCATATTAACTCATTCTAAATTTGTATTTTTTCTTTTTTGAAAATTAATAGTTCCAAAATACTAAAATTACCAGGGACCGCAAATAACTATTATCCTTTGAAATTTCAACTCAAAAAATCACGCGGAAAGAGAAATGATACGTGCATAAGGAGTAAACCAATATATTTCTTATTACTCGGAGTACCTTCAGCGGCACTGATTTTTATTTTTTAATTTTTACTTATAAAAATCAAGTTTAATCATTATATTTTAATAAAACTCCAGAAATAACGATTATTTTCCGAGCAAAAAATAAAACTTAAAACGTAACGATTATTTTTCGAGCAAAAAATAAAACTTAAAACATAACCATTATTTTCCGAGCAAAAAATAAAATTTAAAACGTAACCGTTATTTTCCGAGCAAAAAACAAAACTCAAAACATAACGATTATTTTCTGAGTAAAAAACAAAACTTAGTTAATAACGATTAAAAAGTGATTTTTATAATAAAACTTATAACCGTTACGGTCCCTGAAAATCAAGAAATCAGATGAAATCAAGCACGACCTCGCAAACTACTGTGTATGCTAGAAAAAAATATGCTTCGTACTTTTTGCGGTCTGCACGTGCGGAATCTCGCATGAATTGTCACGCAAACTAGATTTTCAAGCAGGAGAAGGCGGCCAGTAACTTAAATTCAAAATTACTAAGAATCAAAGTTCCAGCGAAGATTAGAACGTTGGGTTCAAAAAGTATTTTTGATGTTAAAATTGTACTAAAAATCGGTAAATTGTATTTTTGTACTTTTTAAAGCTAATTGTACTGAAAAAAGTACAATTGTACGTAAAATATCAACACTGTGTCCTACTAAGTGTCAATTGCCCGCCTCTACATCGCTTTTTCGACAGTGCCGAACCAGCTCTATAGTTCCGAACTAGTTCTAAATTCGTCACCTTAGGTCGGTGTTATGCAGACAAACTTTTGTTTGGCACAGGGTTGCACGTTCATTATGGTTTTCATGGCTATTACCAACACGAAATGAGAATTTCAGAATACATAACGCGCATAATTAATATATTTTTTATGATATCGTATAGGCAATTAACTGTGCCCTAATCATTGAAGCTCCTACAGCATAAATTCAGTTCTCTGGCTTTAGGTATCACGGCAACTTTTGCGTATAGCAACAACTATCTAAAATGTTTGTATATGACAACACCGAATTTGCAGCAGTTTGACCAAAAAAAATTAGTTTGCTGTGAGAGTCGCCAAACTCGCTCTCTCCGAGCCAGTTTGCCAAACAAAATTTCTGCATAACACCGACCTTAGATCTATATTCCTAATGAAAAGTTATTGTATTATTTGTGCCTTAAATTATTTTCTGTGACTACACATCTATTTTGTTATAAGTGCATTTGTGTTACTGAATGGAAAAGGTTAGAGTCCCAAACTTTTTTTCTCATAGACCCCTTTCAAAAATTTACTGATTTCGGTGGACCCCCTGCTGATAATAATAATAATAGATTGGCTCTTACAAATATGTTAGTGTTTGGCCGAGCTTCTCCTCCGACCCCCTGCTGATACATTTCTAAATATTCCCAAAGCTCGTAAAAAAATTAAATGTGACAATTAGATTATAAAAAAAATGTGATGTGTGTGATTGTGTGTAAAGCTCGTAAATACATCAAAAAAACTCTCTCGCTCGGAAGAGTTAAATTTTTTAAGAGGACTGCGAGCAGTTTTGCCCACCTGCATGCCCTCGATGCCTCTCAGTCATTTCAGAGCGAAGTTTTTGATGGTGGCTTCGATTGCCGAAGGTGGGAGTGCTAAAACTAGTTGCGGACCGAGGAATGCCTGGTCTGGGCCTACTCTGGTACGGGTACTTCAGAGTGACCAGACACCCAGAGTAAAACAACCTCGTTATGTTCACCATCATATTTTAGTCGAGAATTGTACTGCCGAACTAGTTTGGAAATACTTAAATATAGGGCTGGTCAATGCCTTAAGTGCAGCTTGGTTGTCAGTGCAGTCACGTAAACTCCTTCCCCCCCACCTATGTTCCACCACGTAGTAGTAAATAAAGAGGCTATCAAGCAACCATTTTGGTTCTTTACATCGAAACCAGATAAATCTTCGTCGACCCCCATTTACAACTCATGGACCCCCATATTTTTTTCACGTCACCGTGGACCCCCGTCGAGTCTTCCGTGGACCCCTGGTGGGTTAGAGTAAAATATCTTTTAGAAAACTATGAATTTTTAATTGTTCTTGCTTCTTGCATCACATTATACTTAGCGTCTTTTGCACTCATAGCTGCGATATTGTCGTTTTAAAAAAATTATATATAATAGTTTTGTAAAAGTACCAGATTTCGCTACTTTTGAACTGGCCAGAATCTAAATACTAAGTTTTGCCGATAAAGAATTAGTACTAAAATAGAAAATTGATTCACTAGTTCGGGTCTTCCCTGCAGGGTATATTAACAAATTATGTGTGTATGTTTTAATGCGAACTATTTTCCAAATTCAGCTGCACAATTACATACGTATGTCAATTTTCTTGTCAATTACTTACCACAAAGAATTATCATTGGATAAAATGCGCCGGTGGCGACAAAATTTGCTTCTGTGTGCGACTTGCAATAAACGGAAATGAGTAAGCCTTAAAGAATTAGATATTACACCATAGTCATTTTTGTTTATGTATGTATGTATTATGTACTACTAATGTGAGTTGGAGCTTACCAAAAAGCATGCCGCAGAATGCTGTCAATGTTAGCAAACCAATGAGCGTCGCCGTATCACCTTTGTTGTAGGTGTCGAACACCAGCCCAATATACATTATTACTTCGAATGATTGGAATGCCATTATAATGAGTTGGGTCAGTAGATGTGCCCACAGCATTTCCATTGCGGAAACCCCAGCTACTAAAGTGCGATCCCAAACACCATCCATACGTTCCGAAATGAATACTGCTGCTGTCATTAGAGTGGCCAAGAAGAACACCATGCTAAGTGTGTCAAAACAAGTAAATATGTACATATGTACATTTGTAGTAAAGGTTGGTACGTAGTACTTACAAAAAATGATATATATTTATTTGTAACATTGAATTCGACGAACTTCGAATACTTACGTCATAACGACACCAGGCGCCACATATTGCTGAAATTCAATATCTAACGAACCGTAAACAGGTTCCTGAAATTGTATAGGAATGTTTCCCAAACTAGCTGGTAGATTGCAATCGATTAACACGCCCTTCATAAACGAACCGAAACTATCACGTAGCTTGCGCTCAATAAAGTAGCCGATCTGTTGATCTAATTTTTTAATGTTGCAAAGTAGCAAGAATACGTATGTTGAAAAGTGACAAATTTTGTTCGTTTATATGCAAGAATCTCGTGCTCACCCGTCATATCAATATGGACAGTTAGTTCCCCATTTTCCACTGTGCCTTCATCCGCATACCGACCATCTTCCAGTCGGGCTCTTATTGATTCTGAGAAATTACTTGGAAACATTATATAACCCAAGACATCTGTGCGCTTGGCCGCGCTGTAGGCTTCTGCTTCTGTTTTATAATATATCTAAAATAAGAAATAACTTTAAATTGCAATTGTTTAAATTGGCGCAATGGCAAAAATGGGATGGTAAAATTATGGCGAAATCAATTTTAATATAATTTTACATAGAAACTGGTAAAAATGAAACTCCTCCGACTTAGAGTATAGCACCACTTCATTCCATTCCATTAAGAAACATAGGAGAAAGCTTTTTTCAACTGAATGTGATTTCTCCGAAATCCACGAAAATGCAATGTGCAAAAATTATAGTTAAAATCTNTGGACAGTTAGTTCCCCATTTTCCACTGTGCCTTCATCCGCATACCGACCATCTTCCAGTCGGGCTCTTATTGATTCTGAGAAATTACTTGGAAACATTATATAACCCAAGACATCTGTGCGCTTGGCCGCGCTGTAGGCTTCTGCTTCTGTTTTATAATATATCTAAAATAAGAAATAACTTTAAATTGCAATTGTTTAGATTGGCGCAATGGCAGCATTGGGATGGTGAAATTATGGCGAAATCAATTTTAATATAATTTTACATAGAAACTGGTACACATGAAACTCCTCCGGCTTAGAGTATAGCACCACCTCATTCCATTCCATTAAGAAACATAGGAGAAAGCTATTTTCAACTGAATGTGATTTCTCCGAAATCCACGAAAATGCAATGTGCAAAAATTATAGTTAAAATCTTTTTCCTATTTAAGGGTAGACCGATTAAATGTATTGTTTTAAAATTATCATGTTAGAAGAGAGAGAGGTACATATGTTGATTAACAGGGCAATACTGGCTAAGACAGTAAATAGCCTTTCGTAAGACAAATGAAAGACAGATGGCAAGATAGATCGAAACACTTTTGCTATTCTAGCACAAAAGTCTTAGACGAAGAAAGCTTTCTCATTCACCACTCTTGGTTATTTAGCTCGCGTCGCTCCAACAGTCACAATGGCCGAGTAGCAGAGAAGAAAAAAATTTCGTTCGAATTTAATTTATTTTACCTAAAACCATTTATTTATTTATTCTTGCTTTATTTTAGTTTTTTTATTTTTTTATTTAAATTTCTTTTATTTATTACTTTTGGTTGTTTTAAAAAGAGAAATATATGTATATGGTTTTAAAATTTAATTTAAAAAAAAAAACTTAAAATGCGAACAGCATAACGCTAAGACCTCCTCGTTAGCATGTCTTTCAATTAGGCTTTCAAAATAAAGTAAATGGCTTTTAAGATAGTTGCTAGAACAGACAACTGTCTTAAGAAAGACCTTTGTCTTTCCAGTTTGCCAGAATTTCCCTGTAAAAGTGCTTGTGGGCTGTAGAGATAATAGCAATCAAAACATCCAAGTGACTCCGATATTAAAATGCATACATATGTACATCCAAATAATTTAATTGGTCGGAACATAGATTTTGGGATTTTCCTTGAATTTATTCGAACTGTTTTGCTTCGAAAACAAAGATAGCCCTTGAAAAGATAATTATGATTTTTAATTAGAATCGTATACAGTTCTCACTTAAATTTGCAACCATTTTGAGTGCACGAGTAGTAAAAAAGCAAAATTCAGCAAGAATATATCGCTTATTTACTTCAATAGTGTCATAACTCAAAAAAGCCATGCTTGAGAAAAACGGCTTTAAAGTTTTGGATTCACATATCTATCTGCAATTTTCACAAAAACTACTTTTTGATGTTAGAAACCATCTGGGACTTACTGATCATCACTGATGTTAAACTCAAAATTTGAATTTTGTGGATTGTGACACTATTGAAGTAAATGGGCGATATGTACATACATACAGTGGCTTATATAAGTAGGGTGACCATATTTATGAGAGCCGAATACGGGACAAAAAATAATTTTTCAAATTTGTTTCACAACAGCTTGCAGATCTTAAAGCCTTCTTCAATGATCCTAGATATAGGTATTAGCCCTGAAACAGTATCCCTATAGTAACATAACAAATTTGTATGATCATTTTCTCGAGATTTTTATCCCGTAAAATTTGTTTAAAAAATTCTTTAAATTTTAGTATAATAAAGTGCACTTTTAAGTCGCTAACGCTTACCATTAATTTTTGGCAATTCTTTTTGTTTGTTGACGGTGTTACGCATTTTTTTCATACAAAGTATGTTCGACCATTTTTTTTTTTAAGAGAAGCAAATGACCAGAACTTTCCACTCGCACTTTTGTAATACTCAATTTTAATGAGTTATAAAACTGCAAACTAAATTTTTTTCTAAAGATTCTAATTAAAAAGATTGAAACTTTGGTGAAACCTTGCACAGTTAATTTTTATAGTTTTTTGCACAAAGTTTAAAATTTGTATTCTATGATTTTTGTTAGGAATAAAATCTTTACTTTCATAAAACAAATAATAAACATTAAATAAACTAAGGAAAAACAGCCAAAACTTACTAAAATATCGAGCCCTAATTTCTATTTTGTTCACTGTATTTNCATGTTAGAAGAGAGAGAGGTACATATGTTGATTAACAGGGCAATACTGGTTAAGACAGTAAATAGCCTTTCGTAAGACAAATGAAAGACAGATGGCAAGATAGATCGAAACACTTTTGCTATTCAAGCACAAAAGTCTTAGACGAAGAAAGCTCTCTTATTCACCACTCTTGGTGAAAGCTATTTTGGGGAGAAAGCACTTGTATGTTATTTAGCTCGCGTCGCTCCAACAGTCACAATGGCCGAGTTAGCAGAATATAGGCGTGCCGTACGAAAGATCAAGAGTTCGCGTCTTGGGCGGCGGAACTTTGTTTCTTTTTAATTAATTGAGAAGAAAAAAATTTCGATCGAATTTAATTTATTTTTTCTAAAACCCTTTATTTATTTATTTTTGCTTTATTTTAGTTTTTTATTTTTTTATTTAATATATGTATATGTTTTTAAAATTTAATTAAAAAAAAAACAAAAACTTAAAATGCGAACAGCATAACGCTAAGACCTCCTCGTTAGCAGGTCTTTCTTCAATTAGGCTTTCGAAATATTTACAGTAAATGGTAAAAGAAGAGGTAGCTGTAATTTCTGCATACTTAACTCAAAATTTGAATTTTGTGGATTGTGACACTATTGAAGTAAATGGGCGATATGTACATACATACAGTGGCTTATATAAGTAGGGTGACCATATTTATGAGAGCCGAATACGGGACAAAAAATAATTTTTCAAATTTGTTTCACAACAGCTTGCAGATCTTAAAGCCTTCTTCAATGATCCTAGATATAGGTATTAGCCCTGAAACAATATCCCTATAGTAACATAACAAATTTGTATGATCATTTTCTCGAGATTTTTATCCCGTAAAATTTGTTTAAAAAATTCTTTAAATTTTAGTATAATAAAGTGCACTTTTAAGTCGCTAACGCTTACCATTAATTTTTGAGAATTCTTTTTGTTTGTTGACGGTGTTACGCATTTTTTTTCATACAAAGTATGTTCGACCATTTTTTTTTTAAGAGAAGCAAATGACCAGAACTTTCCACTCGCACTTTTGTAATACTCAATTTTAATGAGTTATAAAACTGCAAACTAAATTTTTTTCTAAAGATTCTAATTAAAAAGATTGAAACTTTGGTGAAACCTTGCACAGTTAATTTTTATAGTTTTTTGCACAAAGTTTAAAATTTGTATTCTATGATTTTTGTTAGGAATAAAATCTTTACTTTCATAAAACAAATAATAAACATTAAATAAACTAAGGAAAAACAGCCAAAACTTACTAAAATATCGAGCCCTAATTTCTATTTTGTTCACTGTATTTATTCCTCGATTCGAATCCCAGGCATTCAGATTAGAAAATAATAACTGTTTATGGAGAAAATTAGGATATTATGCCAACATCACTTAAAACTCGTTCAAAGGCATGTCATTTTAAGGAGCTACTAAGGCGTCGAAGCACCGAATACGTGACAAATACAGGACATTAAGAGAAATACAGAACATTTGGCGTCCCGTATAAAATAAATTAATTAATTACCAGGATAATGGGTCAAAAAAGAGGACTGTCCCGTATAATACAGGACGGATGGTCGCCGTATATGTAAGTGTTCACGTGTTGATTGTTTTGAGTATTCACAACGTTTTTCAAGTAAACTGCTTTTTTTTTGTTTTGTAATTTTTCTATACAATGATTGATTGTTCAAGCTTTAACAAAACCATATAAATCAGAGTTTAAAATTCTATACAAAATTGAGGAAAATTCAACAAATTTTTCATCAAAATGTCAACTTTGGTAAGCACTTTTATAGCCCATATAATTTTAGTCAAAAGGAGTGTAAGTTTCAACCGGCTAAGAAGTTACGTTGATTTTTAACATTTTTTTTGTGACGGCTTTTGAGGTTTTTTTTATATATCAAGTGCAATTTATGAAACTGGCGTTAATTTTTTGATATTTGGCTGCAATCGGTCTTCCGCATTTTATTTCATAAGAAATTCATGCTTATGTGGGAAAAAGTGGAAAAATCGCCAACAAAAAAAAATCTTAAAAATAAGTGGAACTTTTTAGCCGTTTGAAACTTTCTCTTCCTTTTTCTAAAATTGTAGGGGCTATAAAATAGATAAAAAATTTAAAATTTTGATGAATTTTTTTTTTAATTTTCCTACATTTTGTATTAAGTTTGAAACTCTGATTTATATGGTTATATTCATGATAAAAAAGAAGGTAGTTTCATTGTCACTTTTCGGTCGCCATATTAACAAAAATAACTTTCAAAATTAAAACAAAATTTATTTTATTGTGGAATTGGCTGTTAGTTCCTTAAAAAATATGAGCTGCTTATTTCCTGAGTGCAAAAGCACGAAACACATCCGCGAGGAATGGCTGGAAACTTGCAGATTGAGCGAAGATGTATTGCCTAAGGTGCCGTACGTCTGCTCATTGCATTTTTCAAGGGGCAGATTTCGCTTACGAAGAAGGTCGCAAGATTAAGCCGGAGCGCTGTGCCGAAATTCGAAATGTAAGAATTGCAATTGCTTATAATGGGTCGATTGTGGATTGCAACGCAACCAGTTGCCATCTGCTGTACCATTTCAGCCATTGGAAACCCAACTGAAGTTCGGTTGCCATCCGTAATCGACCCATAAGAAAGACTAATTTAATTTCTGGTTGTTGTTGTTGTAGCGGCTACTAAACCCCGCTTGGGTCGGCTTGGCTTTCAACAT